CTCAACAAGAACCGTAACCCTACCTCAGCAAGAACCCTAACCCTAGCGGTGAACAAGGAAATTACATATACCCATTGCCCCAGGTCCATGTTGGTGATGTCGCAGTCATCATGTGAGCTCGATTACCCAGGCATGTCTGAAGGAAGGCGACCATTGCTGTCGCTGTCGGCGAGCTAGGCAGCCAAAGAGAAGAGTGAGAGCGAGAGGAGTGAGAGCACATGAGTGAGGAAGAGAGTTACGCCACGGTCTATTTTTGACTGAGCGGTTTGGTTTAGACCGACCGCACCGGTCTGCCCCTACGCGCGTGGCTGGTGGGCCAGGTTTGTCAAAAAACGGTTTAAAACTAAGCAAGGGCTGTTTGGGTTTTTTTAAATAGCCGACCATGGTTTTGGTAGCTATTAGTGACAAATAAATTTTTGATACTAATTTTTTGAAATCCTATTATGAAAAGTAGTAGTTTTATGCTATTCACTCCCTCCTCAGAAAAAAATACCACTAGTTGAGGAAATCACCGACCGAGTACTCACATGAGAGCTTAGCATTGCCATCTCAATGATCTAATGATCAGATTGGACGGAGATTAAGTAAAGTCAGATCCCAGAAGGACATCAGATGGCACGACTCATCAAAATAAATCGCCATTATATATTTTCAATGCTTGGTACGTACCGATCATCCAAATGTCAATGTCAGAAGGACGGCAGGTGGTAGTACAAAGGCACGGTCTTGCAGTTGCTTGTTCTAACAGGAAGCTGGTTCGACAGGTCGATCGGCTGTGGCACGCGTTTGACTCCATGATGAGGTGAGTACGTTGAAGTAGCTAGCTAGCGGTTCAGTCAGTTAGCCGTTGATGCTGCCACAGCGTCAACGGACAATAAGGCTGGTCATAGTGGGGGAGTAATTTAGAGGGTGCTTGGATTCAAGGGACTATTTTTAGTCTGATTAAAAACAGTCTCTTTTAGAGGCTAAAGTTTCAAGCACCCCTGACTAAAGAGAGGCTAGGACTAGTCTTGAGTCTAAATTTTTTTAGTCATATGAAACCTACTAAAATATGTATTAGCCCTCTCTCTCCTCATTTAATTTCTCTCCTTTAACACATGCAAGTTCTGAGTTGGAGGGTTTGGAGGATAATAAATGCTCAATAACTTGATTTTAGTCTCTTTAGTATTTGGATCCAAGCATGAGTGAGGCTAGCAAGTTTTAGTCCCACTACTTTTAGTCATGGGACTAAAACATATCCAAGCACCCTCTTATACTAGTGTCATGTATATGACACTAGTCTAAATTACTATCTTCATAATGCAAAATAACATAGTAGTAGTGTCATAGATGGCTTCATTTATTAGTTTGTAGACTCATCTTGTATTGAAAAGCGCTATGTTACAGTAACATATTATGTTACTACTTATCATTAACTATTTGCCACATAAGCAATTTTTTTTAAAGTGTGCTATGTTACTCGCTAAGTTACTCCTAGTATGACTAGCCTAATGGGCTACAAAAGCCTCTTAATTGGTAGTACAATCCGTAGATTAGATGCCCTGGCCATCGATCCAGTTGAAAGCAACGGATATGATTTAGCAACTAGAGTATATGGTTGTGCCATTATTTATAAGATAGTACGTGAAGGTGGTGCACAAAACCCTCTTGGTTGATACAACCGCATATCTCATACGTGAGGCCTTGAACATCTATCAAATTGAAAACAACGTATATTATCTAGCAACTACTCCCTTCGTCTCATAATGTAAGACGTTTTGTCAAAAAGACATCTTATATTATGGAACGGAGGGAGTACCTGTTTATGCCTTTATAACAAAAAGTAATTGAAAAGGGGGAAGATCTAGCCTCTGCATCATCATGATCCACACAACCATATTTATTAAATGAAAACAAATAGGTCTGAAAAGTACAAAGTATCAACTAACAACTAACACGACAAAAACAAAAACAAAAGACCACAAATGATGGGTACAATAGACAGAGTACATGACTTAACCACATATTCTATTAGTGACGTATCAGCCAAATCAGACCATCTACAAGTAAGAGACATGGTTTCAAGAGGGAATGAGTCAGGTTTCAAGTCCATATGACCAATACTTGATCAGTTGGCCTTAGAAAAATTACACTCATTCCTGCAAAAAAAGAAAAGAAAAATTACACTCAAGATACATCATTACATGATCCATGTCAAAATTTGGCATTTTTCATGGTCCTTTTATTTATTTATAAGACATTAATTGTATGTCTAGATAGTTAGTGAATATAATAATAATTTTAACTACAAATGCAAGAAAAAATTGGTAAATTTGAGTTGATAAATCATATTTGTGTTCTTGAGTCCATGTTTAGGCCTTATCCAAGAAAAGGAAAGGAATTTCAAACATGACGATCTCAAAACTTGATCCAGAACATGGAGTTTATTGATTTTTTTTCATTTCGAAAGATGCAAATGAAGTCCGAAAAGTATGAAACTTGACATGATGCCCTCGCATGACACCGACAGGTTGTGGTGAAAATTGAGAACTATGCTCGGTTTCAGATTGGTAACTAAAGCCTTGTTTACAACTTAATTAAAGTACCTCTGTAGCTCGCCCGGAATAAAAAAGACCGGTCGCTAACCATTTGGAAATGCGGAGATAGAGAACTATGTCACAATCAATAAGTAAGATGATGTGGGCGAGGAATCTTCCGTCACAATTCATTACCAATCAAAGTTAGTAGGTGCAAGGGGTGGGTTTTCTAGCCATACATTCAGGTTCATATTTTTTGCCATATTAGCCAGGTGTGCAACATCATTGGCCTCGCGAAAGGTATGCTCATAAGGCCAGTCGCTTAAAATCTTCAGCAAATCAGCATGCATGTGTGTTTGGCGCTAACGGATATATTTTGTATGTGTTTTTTTAAACATCTGACTCCTTTGTATGCGGATGCCAGAAAAGCATCCTCCAACAATGTAAAGACCGCCAAAACAGCCAGGATTTAATCCCTAGCGCCCCGGCCTAAGCGCCCACATTGTAGGTACCGTAAGAAAATTGAAGACCTTAGAGCAAGTACAATAGAGCTGAGTCAGCAGGCTATAAGGATTAAATTAATATATTTCTGCTTAGTTGGAGGAAAGAGAAGAGGAGAGAGAAGATAAGCGGGCTCTTTGTGAAGAGCCAACTCTAGCACGTGCTTCTAGGCACTTTGTGAGAATGAAAGGTGGGCCACATAATAAAAAAGTAGTACATTCTTTTAATCTACTATTGTACATGTTGGCTATAAGATGGGCTGCAGATGACATGGCACTGGCTTGTAGCCAGCAGCTGGCTATATTATTAACCATGCTCTTAATAAAGGTCCGACTGTACTAGACTTTAACTAATGTCAGTTAATAATGCCATCGAGTTAATAGGTCTTACTTATTGGTGGGAGTTATAATTAAGTTATACAATAAAGAAGAGGCATTTGCTTGGCCTTTTTTATAGCTTAAACTATCTCTTTATTCATTACCAATCGAATTTAGTAGGTGCTAGGAGGTGGGTTATCTAATCATACATTCAGATTCATAAATTTTGCCATACTAGGCAAGTCATGAGCAACGACATTGGCCCTGCGGGAGGTATGCTCTTCAGGCCATCTCCAACACAAGGGTGATTAGAATCCTGAGCAAGTCAGCATGCACAACCGTCTGGTGCTAACAGCTATATTTTGTATGTGTTTCCTAACCTTTGACTCCTTAGTATGGGTCGGTACGACACGAAAACTGCCAAAACGGCCAGCATTTAATCCCTAGTGCCCTTGCCTAAGCACTCGCATTGTAGGTGCCCTAAGAAAACTGAAGACGAAGTTCTGTTTCCTCTTTCCCTCTCGAGGCGATACATGAGGAAGTCTTGTTTCCCACGCCGGCACAGCCGCTGGCTCCCCTTACCTCCGCTTGTAGTTTCCGGGCCACCGTCTTGACGGCGTTCTATGACAGCGTCGAGGAGCCGTGGATGTGTGTTCAGGCAAGGCCTTCAAGTCGGCGGTGGAGGTCTTGCCAAGGATCCTGTTTCTTTGGCTTCGTCCACATTGCGTCAGCGGTTCCTCTGGCGCTGCCGTGAAGCCGGAAGTGTTGGTGTTGGAGGTGGCTGGCACTGTGGTGGTAGTCTCATCCAAGGTATGGTGCACGAGAGTTTCTTCAAAGGTAGAAGATGGTTGCCGGTTCTGAAGTCCCTCAGCGATGTTGCCGCATGAGTACTTCAGAATCGTGATCCAGGACGAGTGGAGATGTGCTCCGGCCAACAATTCATAGCGACAAGTGCGACGCCGTTTGCGGCAGCGCCTGTTCCGAGGCTCACAACACAGTTTTTCTGCTACGACTTTCTCTTGGATCTTGGAGCTAGCTAAGGTTTGTCGCCGGCGGGGG